TAAGCTACTTCAGATGGTTTACAAATAAAAAAATAAATAAAAACCTCATCTATGGGCAAAAGTAGGTTTCCCATCAATGGTATTACAAATTTCATCAAATAATTATCTCGTTTGATTTTAAGATGAATTTAGTTGATGAACGTCTATATCACAAATTCAGTTAGAGTAAGTATATATTCTGATATTACATGTTGATGACATACTACTTGCCAGCAATAATATTGGCTTATTGCACGAAAATCAAGAGATTTCTATCATGAAATTTTGAAATGAAAAATCTTGGCAATGCCTTTTTTGTATTAAGGATATAGATATACTAGGATCATTATCGTGGTCTTTTTAAATTATCACAAAAGAGCTATATTAAGAAAATTTTTAAAGGATTTAGGATGCGAGTGTGTAAACTATGTGATATCCCTATTACTATGTGATACAATTTTAGTCTTAATCAATCCCATAAGGATGAGCTTAAAGAAAAGGGAATACGGAAAATTCCCTTTGTTTTAGCAGTTGGGAATTTAATGTTTGCTTAGGTTTGCACACTCGAGGTATAGCATTCATTATTAGAATGTTAAGTAGATATTTAAATAACTTTAGGATGGATATTTGGAAAGCAACCAATTAAATTATTAGGTATCTATAGATAACTAATGATTACATGATCTCGTACAGAAAATAAAACCAATTGGAGTTCATTGGATATTCTGATTCTGATTATGGAACATGTCTGTGAAATTTCCTCACAGGGTTGTAAATTTTGGATGGCATTGAAAGACCACCATGTTATTCTGTGACAATAGCTATTTTGTATTCCAATAGTGGCTTGACAATACCAAATTTTATAGACATTAAGTTCCTAGTTGCTAAGGAAAGAATTTAGAGTGATTAGGTTCTATAAAGCATATTAAGACAAACTCCACAATTATAGATCCATTTACAAAATGGTTGCCACCTAAGGTCTTTTATGAGCATAATGCTCACACGAATGTTGCATATTTTGATAATATGCCAGTTCAGTAGGAGTTTGTGTTCGGATTTTTTTTTTGGTTAAGACACAATTTTGTTATCCGTGGATATTCGGTTTAATTCAGAAATAAAGTATTTAGTTCAGTTTCACTCTAATTAAAGTTTTCGTTTGATCTTATTAAAGAATAAGGTAGGACCAATTTTGTTTAGATTACATTGCATGTAATTTCCATGCTATACATCCACACTTGATTTATGTCATTTGATCATATTAATATACATAACCATTGAGGTTTTAGTTATGATAATAATGACAAAGAGTGCTTTGATCCTATATTGACATAATTGATGAATGAGATTGTTCGGAAATGCTTTTGGTAATGATAGTAAAAGTTTTGAACTCATAAGATTATACACATTTATAAGATAACATATGCGGACCAAGTGGGAGATTGTTGGGAAATTATTTAATTTTACCATGTAGGCCGACATGGGTAATTAATTGTGATTAAATGCTATCTTAAAGTTATGCCCAAAATTAAAGTGATCTAATAAGAAATTTAAGATATTAGGCTTTGTGTATCTACATAAACCGTGGGCCGAATTACATGTACAGATTAGATTACTTTATAATTGTATTTAGTGATGTGTGAAATATATATATGGAAACTATATATAGGGTTATGGTCCTCAATTCTTATGTAACTCTTCGCTCTTTGTGTCATCCCATCAACACAAGAATACAAGAGAAATTATATTGAAGAGGAAGATCCAATAACCAACAATCAAGAATAGATAATATACAATCAAGAAGAAAGAATTCAAGAATTAAGACTATGAATCAAAGAAGCAAAACAAAAATCAACAACTTAAAAATTGAAAGAGTCAATATTCGAGATTCAAGATCCGAAATCAAGATCCAATATTAAAAAAATTCCCAATGAATTAAGATATGTTCCGCACTTTATAATTCTCTTGATGATTTGACATCGAGAATCTTGACAATCAAGTAATTAGATATGTTCGCAATCAAGAACAAATAATATACAATCAAGAATCAAGAAGAAGGAATTCAAGAATTAAGACTATGAATCAAAGAAGCAAAACCAAAATCAAGAACTTAAGAATCGAAAGAGTCAATATTCAAGATACAAGATCCCAGTATTAAAGAAACATTCCCAATGAATTAAGATATGTTCCGCACTTTATAATTCTCTTGATGATTTGACATCGAGAATCATGGCAATCAAGTAATTAGATATGTTCACAATCAAGAACGGATAATATACAATCAAGAATCAAAAAGAAGGAATTCAAGAATTAAGACTATGAATCAAAGAAGCAAAACCAAAATTAAGAACTTAAGAATCGAAAGAGTCAATATTCAAGATACAAGATCCCAGTATTAAAGAAACATTCCCAATGAATTAAGATATGTTCCACACCTTGTATTTATCTCAACTAATATGTATTATTATCTCTAACATTCCATTGGTGGTCTTTCCTTTGTCCCAAAGATGGGGTTTTATAGAAATATAGCAATTTATACATGAACTTCCCTTGAGGTACATGTAATTTCCCCTATTTTCAAAAATTTTAAAAATCTTTGATATAGTTTACTTCAGGTAACAAATTTTCTAGGTTAATGAAAGATATATGTTTATTTTTTCGTTTTACGCTTCTATACTATTCTCACTTTTTTATTTTATTTAAGTTAAGTTGTTTTCTTTCAGAATTTTGATTTGATTAGATAACTTCAGTTAAAAGATATTACTGTAGTTATTGTTATAAAATTTTAAAAATTATAAACGTGTGAAATTTTAATTTTTTTTTTTTTTTGCAAATAAGATTGACAAATAATTAGCAAATGATCTCTAGATTGATCAGAAGGTTCTTTTAGTTGACTATAATTCGTTACTTGAACAAAACTAGATCAAAGTCAATGTATGTAAATATTTTAAAATATTCGTATGAATGTAATTGTATATTCACTAAGTATTTCATATTGTTAAATTTATATCATTTTCTCTAATTTTTAAACCATTGAAATATATACTTATATTAATAATAGAAAATTAAGTTAATATTATTACAACATTAATATGCTAAAAATTAAAACCAAAAGTTTATAACTTTGATTCCTTTTAGTTCATTTTCTTAGTAAATATTTTAGATCAATTTGATCTATTTATTTTTAATGAGAAATCAAAATTCGCAAAAAATGTGATTAAAAAACTAAGTGGCCACGCGCTCACACACATATATTCTCTTTCCTTTCTTCTCACTTACTTTGTTCTCAAGTCATATAAATTGCTTTTTGTGAATTTGTGTACGAACTTCCTAAGTTTGCCATCCTTAATAAAATTGATTTTAAAATGCAACCCAATCTTCAAATAATCAAAAGGTTATCCATAATTTCTTTTTTTAATCTCCTGTTAGGCAACATTTTTATCTCCGGCTCTAAATTCAACCAGTTTTCCCTAATTTTATCCCAATATGCCAACAATAACAAAACAATAAAACCATGGAAACTCATTCAGATCTGAAGCACAATTTTTATCCCCAGCCAAAAATCGATAATATAACAAACAAAATCCAAGGAATAGAAAAATCTACAAACAAAAGAAAGCAAGAAATGCAACTGAACTAGAGCATGAATAGAAAACTGATATTTTGTCGCTCGTATAGACCACACGAGGACCCAACTTGGCAACAATCATATCTCTCATCATTTACATACACTCACGTGGACACAATTTATTTCTCCTCCCTCCATTGAGGTTGAGTAGGATAGGAATAGAAACGTGAAATTTTGTCACACTCAACTATGGATTAGGATCTAGCTTATTTGGTACAATTTCAACTCAAATTCCGACCAAGACAAATCACATTACATAAGTATGACCAAGCTTTATACTTTCTTATGATTCAATTTTGACTTTGAACGAGTTATAGTTATACACAATATTTCATTTCAATGAATGGTCTTCTTTGGTTCAACTTTGAAAAAATCTCAATTCTGAGAAAACCCCAAATTAGTTCATGGGCCAATCCAACCCAATAAGTTTGTTCAAGTTTTACATGTTCGTCTAAACTTTTGATCCAATACGATCAAATTCGAGCAAATTTGACCATGATTGAGCCGAAAGTCATAAACAATACTCCATCTCAATTGGATGGTCTTGTTTGGTTCAACTTGGAAAAATATCATACAATCGAACAAGTTAAAAATATTCCAAACTCATTTTTAGTCCTTATAATGATTGTACCCTTCATCCCTGTCGTCAGATCACCATGATTGTACCCTTCATCCCTGTCATCAGATCACCAACTTCCTTGACCCTCGACATTGTGCAAACATTAGCCCAGCATTAGTTGTCTGTTCTCAAGTTTGACAATAAGGGTCGGAGAAAGGCAAGTACTCATTCTTAAAACCAGCGTTCTTAAGACCAAATATTCGGGCTTACTGAGCATCTTTTAGATATCAAATGGACCTTCCCAGAACATAATTTTAATGTGGCCAATTTCCCCTCTTTTGCAATCAGTTTCGTTACAGCACCCGGTACTCTAACTATTGTCCACACCGCAAGGAGGAAGATGCCAAAGACAGAGTTAGTGACTGGAGTAAAGTCATAACAAGGTAGTCGTACTGGAAGGTACAGCTGGTTCAACCAAACCTGCTTTCCCAAGCAAAAGTAGGACCCTTGTTTATATTTATTAAATTGCCGAACTTTGTATTTAGCTTAAAAGTATATAAAATGAAAAAGGATGATTGCTTGACTGCGGTGTAGATACTAATATGTCTTGTTATCTTGTACTCTCAAAATTAGCACACATTACTCAACATCGATCAATAGCACTTCTACCTAACTAGTGTTGAGCTACAATGTCCAATTTTTCAAATGTACAACTTTATTCATGTCTAAAACCACTACTCGAGTGGAGGTTAAGTTATATTGTGCACAATTTTCTCCAACTGAACAAATTTGTTTAACCCTCATTTGACCACTTTATGCACTAAAATAAAATGCAGGTTATCTATCAAATTTTAGTATTCAACATGTCCACACCATAGGCTTACAAAATATATATTAAAACAGTACACACTCGAAGGGTAGCGGCTGTTATATATATATATATATATATTAAAACATTGAAAATTTATTTCAAAGCATTAATGTTTATTCATAAATTCAAAACTCAAAGTTTGGAGTTTTGTCTTCCCATCGTCGTATCAAACACCTTGAGGACAAATCTTGTTCTTGGAATATACAATTTGTTTTCTAAAATTGAGCCAAGTGTAGCAATCAACCTTCTTTTCACTTCAGTGTTGATGCCACCCATGGACACAATTTCTGCCAATGCTGCTGGTTCCTTATTCCCTCCAAATGTTAAGGTTACAGATCCTTTCAACAGAATCATCACAAACTGTGAAAACAAAAACACACATTAGTTGAAAAGAAAGGTCGAATCTTATAAAAAAATGCCCTAATTTTCCAGAACACCCTTGGATAGCACATATAAGAGAATAAACTATAAAAGGAAAGCGTAGATGGCTTGTTGGGGATTTGTTTGTGCTCAAGGAAATGTCATCGTCTGCTTGCTTCAAGCACTCGAGTTAGAATCACTATCAGCTCGACCCGGCTTAGGCACTCTGATCTTAGTTGCATAAAATACAGTACAGAATTGAAAATAGACTTTCCTTGTGCACTTTTACTCCACAACGTTGATTCAACTTCGATTCCTAATTCAAGTATCAGAGTGTGTAAGTCACAAACAATCCTGCACGGGTGTTCTATAGCCCTCGGTTTTAGAGACAAGCAGTTGAAGGAGCAAGACTAACTAAGAGCTGGATTAGTGGGAAGTGTCAAATTCCTTTAAACGGTGTGGTAGGCTATTCTTGACTGATTGCAGCCCGCATTTCTTTAGTGTTTATTGAAAATTTAGATTAAAACGTGCTTTAACAATTTGAAGCATTATCTTTTATTTATTTTTAATAAAACTGTCGACTTCGAAAAAGAGCATTGCTTGTATGACGTGGTTCTCCTACCAAACTCCCCTCAAAAATAGAAGAAACTTACCAAATTTCAAGATAGTCCCTCAAAGAGATATCCCTACATGAAACTATAAATGTAATCTTGAGTCTTAACTTATTTAACAACCATTCATCTAAAAGATTAAGTTCTTGTTTGGTTCAACTAAAAAAACTATTAAAATTTAAGGTCGAAGTCAACAATTAATTTTAATTACATATTTCACATACCCACAACTTTCAACCATACATTCCATCAAATTTTATCAAAATCCACTAAAAATGTGATTTTTATCTAAACCACACAAAGGCTAAGTCATTAGAGTAACAAGAAATTAAGTTGATACAAGAATTTTACATAAGAACAATGTTATTTGTACACTCCGGTATACACTCCCCTTATAAGAGAGGGGCCCACGTCTAATAAAAATAGCGTGGCCTCCCTTTGCGAGGGGAGTGTATACCAGCAAAACCCTTCAAATAAACAGGAAGTTGCACGAATTGAACTCACGGCTTTTGTTTTTTCTTAACACCGTTTCACTTAAAGCTAAAACCGTGTAATCATACAATGGTCCAAACTGATTGGACTACTCAATCCTGTTTTTGGTTCCATGCCAATAGACTTGCTGACAAAGTAGGCAATTCATTTGATAAATTTCCTTGCATTAGAACTATTCAACTAAATTTTGCACCAGTTCGTTGTTATCCTATTGTCCTCCCATTTGGCTAATATAGGGTGTCAATGCAATGGCCCCTTCTTATTTAATGGAGCACTCATTTAAGTTAGTTAGGTATATAGAAATAAAATATATCAATATAAAATTCCAAATGCCCGTAAAACTTTTGAATTTAATATATCTAAAAAAATGTTTCCATCATTATCTGAGAAAAGAAACTTGTGGACACTGGAGACTTGCAAATATGCATAGAGTTGTATAGAGGATTAAATACTTTGAACCATCCCGTCGAGAAGCGTGCAGGTGGGATATATTGCCTAATTTATGTTGAAACGTGCATGATTTTTATCAAGGGGTTCGGAAAACTCGAACCTCTAACTTGTGCTAATGGATCGAACGGAGAGGAAAATCATACTCCTTTACCTTGTTTTCAAGGAAGGACTGGTAATGGAGAAAGAACGAACCTTTGATGATTGGGTGATTTAAAATGTTAGTTGAATTAGGATGAATAATGAGTCAATCCCTTTGTTATTATTGGACAGTGATTCCCCAGCTTAAAAGCTCTGAGTTTTGGCAAAACCAGCTCTCGAGGTTCTAGAAGAATACTTAAACCACAGTAATTTAAATTCAGAATATGAGCTTAATCAAGAAAAATTCATTTCCAACTCCCAAAACTAAACCACCAATGCTTAATATCTTAGAAGCTTCGTGCTTTGAACAAACTACTTGAGTTTTAGCAAAAACAGCTCTTCGGGTTTGTGCAATATACTCTAACCACAGTATATAAACTCATATTACAAGTATAATCCAGATAAACTTTCATTACAAGCACCATTACATGGCCTAACCCATATTTATACAACACTAATCCAACAGTAGACACTGAACAAAGAGATTGAATTGAGAGAGAACTTACTTTTTCGGGTTTTCCGATGATTTGAGAAACAGCCTTTGTGAGTTCAGAGAAGATTGAATCTGTGTTGATTCCTTCGAGGTTAACGTTGGTTGAGATATCAAGACAGGGCATTTTTCCCTCTTTTTTCTTGATTCCTCCTGTCTGTAGGGCCTAGTGCCGGAAAAAATTTTGTGAGCAATTCTTTTCTGCCCACTCACCTTCTTATAATTGCTTATTTATAGACAAATTTGCTTATTTATGGACAAATTTTGTGTTACAATCAAGAATGACGGCTGTCTTTCCCTTTTTTTACCTGGTATCTTTTATGAATTTTTTAATATTTTTAGCTTCATTTCCTAAACATCACAACTACAACGCAACAGGAGATGTGTTTATATTACGCACTTTTTGGTCGGTCATGGGCAAGTAGGATTCTAACTCTTGACCAAGATCAAGAATCGAATTACCATACATATTAGGAGGATTCGAATAGATTTAAAAAACTTTTCTGAAGTCACACCGGTGGCATATGTTACATGAGAGAAGGTAGAAGAAAATTAATAAAAAAACATGTTGAAGTTGTTTATAACATTTTATTCCCTGAAATTTCATTATTCAGTAAAAAAAAATAATTTTATCATAATATTTTATCAAGTACTATATAAATTTTAAAGTTGGTAAATCTTACAATATTCTTTTCTCGCTACAAAAGTAAGACAAAAATAAATAAAAAATTGAGTTCAAAATATATGAAATAAAAATAAAAACTAATGACATGGACTGGGAATATAATTTTTTTTATGTAAATAATCATTAAGAATTTAAACTATTTTTATTTTTTTTGTATAAATTTTATTTTTCTAGAATTTTTTTAATTTAACTTTTTTTTAAGAAATTTTAGTTTTTTATTTTATTTTATAAATTTTTTATTTTATTTTTTTAGAATTTACCCTTTTTTAACTTAATTTTTTTTTTTACTTTTATTTGTTAGAATTTTATATTTCATTTTTTAAAATTGTTAAATTTTTTCACATAAATATTTTATTTAGCCCCAGTTTGGGCTTCATTATTTTAAATTATAATGAAAGGAATAATAATTTTTTAAAAAATGTGTGGTTAAAAAGGAATGAAAACTTTTTAGGTTTATGTGTAATATTATTTTATTGAAAAATATTTGGTTAATAAGAAGAGAGAAAAAGTGAATTTTAATTTAATGCAAGATCAAACAAGAGCTTAAAACTTGTTTTTCATGTTTTGAGTATTTTCAAAATTTTTACTGAAATCATTAAAACGTCAAAAAATGCATTTTTAGTTTTATGTTATAAGTTTATCCTTATTTTCAAAAATGCATTTTGAGAAATAGCAAACCAAACATGTTTAAGTATTTTACAAAACTGAAAACGGTTTGAAAACGAAAAACCAAACGCACCCTAAAGGGTCCATTTGGTTTTGTATTTCAGTTTTTAGTTTTGATTTCATTTTTTGATTTCGATTTTGAGGGTTTATTTTAGGATTGCTAAAATTGCATTTGATTTGTCACTTTGAAAATTAATTTCTTAAAGCACATAATTAGAAAAAAAAAATGTTTCGTTTGAAATTTTGAAAATTTATTTATTAAGTTAATTATTCAGTAAAATAGAACAATTTTATACTAATTTAAAAAATTAGTACACACACAATATTGGAAATTAAAAATTAAATTTAATGATGTTGACTAAGATTTTTTTTTTTTTTTATCTGTTTTCAATTAAAAAAATATTTTTAATTTTTTATTTAAATAACATATAAGAGTTTTTATTTTTTTGGATTTTTACTTTTTAAATTTCAATAGATATCTTCTCAGATTTTTTTTTAAATTTTAACTTTTAGTTTTTTAGAATTATTATTTAAATAACTTTTTAAGGCTTATTTCTCACATTTTGGGTATTTTTAATGTTTTCACTGAAAACTCTAAGAACGTAAAAGATGTTTTGAGTTTTATGTTGGAAGTTTAATCATATTTTTGAAAATATATTATAAAAAATACTAGATTAAACAAGTTTCGAGTATTCTAAAAATTTGAAAATAGCTTGAAAACTGCAAACCAACTTCATATTTATTTAGAATACGATTTAATTTGTCATAGTTTGACAGTATCACGTTACTTGTAAAGAAACATATTTTGAATGTACATATTTTTACCATATTCAGTTGTATCGTGTTACTCTTGTTTCAATAACAATTTTGAACTTTTTAAACCTCTATTTGATTTTGATAAAAATCAAATTTATCGTAGATTTTGATAAAAGTTTATAAAATGTGTGATTAAAAAGTTAATAAAAATTTTGAGTCATATGAAATGTATGATTAAAAATGAGTTCAAAAAATGATGTCAAAATAGGACCTACATGTTATATTTTATCGTAAATTTATCGTTGTATATGGGGGATCTTTTTAGGTTTATGCTGTTTGTACAAATTCATTTTGTCAGATTAGTATCAGATTCATACTTAACAATTTTTAATTGGATGGTTGAAAAATATTTTTGACACAATTGTCAATAAAATCCTGCTAAGTATGATTCTGGCACCATTCTGACAAAAAAACTTGTACATATAGCATATTTCATCTTTTTAAATGTACTGTACAATTGCAACTCATTCATTTCAAGGAGTTGAGAACCTTGAATTCAAGAGTCAAATGTTCACAAATATAGGATCAAATTAATGGTGGAGTGCTTACAAAATTTTAAGACATTCACATGAAGAAAACAAAAAAAATGAAACGAGTGGGGGTGGGGGTCCCCTACTAATTGTGTTCTCACAAAAGAACTTGTTAACTTTACATTTATTATCATTATTTTTTTTAACCTACGTAGCTATTGTCAATAACGATGTTGAAAGGTATCAATTTTCTTGGTAGATTTGGATTAAAAAATTAAAGAATATTTTTATATACCCAAGTTGATTGATAACGATCACGATTCAAATTCTTTTGTTATTTTATGCCTTTGAAATAACTTGTTTCAAGGAAACCATTAAAAGATTTTGAAGATAAGAATGCATAAAAAAAAGTTAGGAACATAAATGTTATATTAAGCAAAGATTTTAAGATCTTAAGTGCAATTAAAATATGATGCACTGAAGTGTGAATATAATTACCAATTTTATAATTTTAATTTAGGAAAAAAAAACTTTCTTTAGTTTTAAAGAAAGATAATATTTTTATCTTTATGTACTTATCTAACCAAAATTATAAAAAAATATCTTTAAGTATAATGTAATAAGAACTTCAAAAAACTATAGAACAAAGAGTAAATTGGGTACATTTGCTTTTTCGCAGACATGAAGGAAATATGTCATCAAGGGAGGTTTGTATAACTTTTTTAAAAAGGGGGGAGTTTCTCCATAATAGTTAATCATTTTGGAAGGTATTTTGTAATTTTCTCTATATTTTAACTTGTAGAAAGATTCGAAATTCATGAATTTTATCTTATTTATAAGCTTGTATGTTTTACAATAATAATGTTGAAAATTATTGGCAAATAATAGTGTCACCGTAATGTATATTTGGGCAGAGTAACGATGTATGGATGATTTTGAATGGTCGAGGTAAGAGTTCGACTCTTTCTCCTTAAAACGATAATGCCCCGCACTGATACTTACGGTATTGTAGCACTCGTTTTCCAAGATACAACGACCTCGTCTTGTAATAGTAGTACTCCAAATTACAAGACCCGATGAACCCATAAAGTTTAGATCTCTCCACACACATTGGATGACTAAAATGCATTGAAAATAATTTCGAGGACTGAATTATAAAAACAGAAATGATGCAGGGACAATGAGATAATTTTCGGAATAGTAGAAAATCAATTCTGATTTTGGAATGAATTAAAATCGGGATATGGGGACCTATATATAGATGTTGAAAGATTGTGTCCCAACAGACACAACTGCCAAAAAGTTGTGTCCAAAAGACACAAACAGTTTGGACAGTCAACCGCCACAACCGATTAGACATTCAACCGTCAAATTCTAGAAGCACCACGTGTCACACACAGAAAATTCAGGAAGAAAATAATAATATAAAATATATTATTATTATTATTAAATAATATAATTCAAATGTTATTTTACCAAAAAAAATATATCAGCTTGGCCCAAGCCCATGACCCATAACTCGTGACCGAGCCGAGCCGGCCGGCCTGTCGGACGGCGGCGGCGGCGTGCGCGTGGGCTTTGGCTTAACCTACTAGCATGTAGGTTCTGTCCCCCTCAAAGATTATTGGTACCCCTTGGGGCCCAAACCCAGGTCTCAAACTTGAGCTATATAAGGTGATTTATATTCTTCTAATTTTCTTATGTAGGATTGGTATTTTTCAATTTTCCACCTATTTTATTTCAACATCAAGTGGGCATCTTTTGGCCTTAATTTTTCATTCACCCAAAATTGGTTTTGAGAAAATAAATATACCATATTAATCTACTCATGGAGTAGAACACATTCGGCCAAAGAAATCTTATATGCGATTAACGGGACCCACTAAATTAATTGGTCAAAAGTTGATCAAAACAACTAATTAAAACCCAATTTTTCTAACAGTCCCCCACATGAATGAAAATTAATGCAATAGACTATGCAGACTCTATAGAGAGATCAGGCGGAATGTTATCGCATCTGGATAGGTACCTTATGGGTTTGAACCTTCCGTAGTAGAATACTATCGAATTTACTTGGCTAATCAGTGAACGCGGTGTCTTGAACTGTCAGCCGTTTTTGTAAACCAAGACAATAGTATCAACACAATAATCTTCCTAACATTTCGAGCTTTCACCGTTGTGTTCATTTTGGCCCTAAACAACTCTTGGATTTCATAAGTGTTTTAGAGAATTCAAGCCTTTGAAACATTCTTATAGAAGCGGCCACACTTCACACTTGCATAGGTGATCTCCTATTAAGAGTACCTGTCATACTCCACTTGGGTAGTCCAAGATATAAGAATCATTAAAAGTATAACTTAACCTAAAACTTTCTGCAGATAGCACTTCCTTATAATAGGAATGGGTAGGAGTTAATTCCGAAGTGTTTATTTGAATCTTCATAACTTAGTTGTCCCATTGAACCAAGATTTTGGGATCTCCAGTCAGCAAGTTGGGTTACCATTACAAAGATTCTTATGTAGTAGGCTTTAAGTACATTCCCCTTGATAGGCAGTATACTTGATCTCTTGGTAAGCCTTTGGTAAGCGGATCCGCAAGATTTTCTCTAGACTTTACATAATCTATGGAAATAACACCATTTGAGATCAACTGCTTAACTGTACTATGTCTTCGACGA